CTTACTTCAGATAAGGAGATGCGTTGTAGCATCATTGTTCGACCTAAGTGTCCCAAAAGGTCGTGCCAAAGCAAGTAAATTGCTCAATCACCAGGTTAGAGGCCGGCCACATGTGGTGTATTCCCAGTTGGGAGACAACCCATTGGCCCCAAATCAAAGCTTCAGGCTCATTTTTGGAGGTGGTGCAAAGATATTTCACTCTATTTTCTTCAGTGGTTTCATTTATGATCATTGTCATCTCGAATATCCTTAAAAACTAAACGTCAGGAAGAATTTAAGGTCCCTTAAATGATAATTCAGTATCATTCATACAACGAGGAGCGTGCCAATGCTCTTAATCAGGTTGGATAGACCTGAAGTCGTTGTTAGATATGTGATTTAGGTGTAAAGTTAGTGTGCGTAGTACGCATTCATCCAGACAACTAACTTTCCCACATTCCTACCTAATCACGTGTTTAATTGAATCGGTCACATGTATTAAGAAACATGATTCAATTAACTCATATTCGAGGACAATATCAATAAGATTATCCATAAGTAAAACATACACCAAACTTGAATCCAAGAACATGGAAAAATGTTCACAAAGTAAATTTACTAAGGGGATTCGGCCAATAAAGCCATCCATGTCGAAATTTTGCTCTGTCAACGATGTTCGGTGGAGCAAAATCAATCTCACATATTGACTACTAGAATGGTACTCCTCAACAACATTGGTAAGGGCACGAACAAGTGCATAACCAATTATCTATTTCATCAAGACGGGAGTATATTCTTGCAAGGTTGAGGTTCGAGAATATTATCCCTTATTCTTGAAGTTTTAGGTCTTATGTACCAAGGATCATGCTTCGGGCATGATGCCACACCTTGGCAGGCCCTGATTATACTATATGTTTGTGAACACAAACTCGAAATTGTATTGTGAAAGAATATGCCATTCAGTGTATCCATGCCGAAGCAGTGCATCACCATTTGGTTAGGTTTTGACCGAACTGGGTTGAGCCATTCGGTAGACGCCAGCCGAACTGGGTCCATACATTTCTCTCACGTTTGTGGTAGTAATCAGATCCGAGAATTTGGTAAATTTCCACTTTCTACACTGCTGCTTCAGGAGCGAGTTAGAAACATGGAATGACGAGAAAAGTATTCTCCAGTCAAGATTTGATCAGATTTATAAAATTCAGAATTGTACTCATTCATGGACGTAATCATGGTTTGCTTCGGGCAATTTCTTTCATGATTAGATGGTCTATAGAAGCGAGCTAAAGAGCCATGGAATCCTCGTTCGGGAAGTATTTCCATTTGTAATGCTTTGAGCATAAGTCTTCAAATGAAGATTATGGCGGAGGCTTATTCAGCTCTTCCTTGCCTATTGTTGGCATCAATGGTTTCTCAGCTTCTTGATAGTCAAGTGGAGATTCACGTCTTGTACCCCACCTAAAGTGGTTTCTATTAGAAAACGTCCAAATCAAGAAAATCAAACTTGTGCCGGTTCGACAATCCACTGAATTTGAGGAAACAAGATTGTGATTGGTGCTATGGGAATGAATCATCCATAAGCATCAAAGTTAGAACATTTGAGTTCTAAGACATGGTTTTCATGAAAAACGTTGGGTTTTCATGGGTGTATTGTTTTATGAAAGCTTCTGGTTTCAAAGGTACTAAATTCGAAACTACAGGTTCGATTTGGTTTATGAACATTTAGTTCATAAAAGAGAGGTTCCTGCAAGAAACTCAGAATGCAATATACTAACTTAGTGTAGTGGATTTGAGTTGTCTTCGGGAACTCAAGTGTGAGAGCTTCGTTACTACGAAAGTATGTGATGGTTCAAAGAAAAGAAATAAATTATTGAATCGTTAATATCCAAAAGTGATCTTCAGGTCAATAATTTTGGATTCATTATCAGATTAATAGACTGCATGTCACTTTTAATTAATTCAATAGATCGGGACCATTCGGGGTCGATCGTAGAAGCAAAATAATATTAAAATAATATTATTGGATCGAAAATAGAGCCCTAAAAATAATTGGGCTTAATGTCGGGGGTTAAGAGGCACGGGTTGGGTGCCTTAATCATAAGGTGAGGCCCAAATGTTCCTTTGGTGGTGACTGCAGGCCACGGGTGAGGAATGGGAGACCCTAGCCGCAGCTGGGTCGTGTTTTGGGCCACAAGGGGGACAGGTCTAGCGCAAGCTGGCCTGTGGGTTATCGCGAGGATCCCAGCAAATGTTGGTTGCGTGAAAGCAGCCCCATAGTGACTGCAGGTCACGAGCTTGGGTATGGGTGGCGCAATGACAAGCCCAGCATATGCTGGCTATATGTATGCGGGCCAGAGTAATAAAACCCAGCAACCAAAAAGGTTGCAGCGTGTGTATGGGAGGATAGCCTAGACAATTGGGCAGGTTGGATGGTTGCGAGCCAAGGCTAGTGTGCATAGGCTCAGGGCTGCAGGCCCTACCGAGGTAAAATCCAGGCCTAGGCCTAATGATTATTTGCACAATGATGGTGCGGTGGTGTGCCGCACCATGTCCTGATTCCCCCATTTTTTTTTCAAATCCTTTAGGGTTTACGAAAACCTGAAACATGCTTCTAATTTAATTGAATACTTTGACTCACAAATTCCACATAGCAATTATTGCGTAATGTATGAAACAAATATATATATTGACAAATATATGAACATATATATATATCGGAAGGTAAATATAAATGTAGGGGGTTCATGCATCATGGGGAATGTTTTCATGCTTCATAGGTCGTTTCAAATATCCTCATTTATTTAAGCGTACATGAGTAGCAGAAAACAACAAAAGCCTTTGAATTTGTAGAAGATCCTTCTTGAAAGTCGAAATTCTCTAATGCGTTGTATCACGTTCAACACAGAAAAATTAAATTGAATCAATAGCATGTAGATCAATTTAAAAAAATAATAAATTAATCATGAAAAGAACGATTAAAACGTAATACTCCCCAAATTGAAGATCAAACTTTCTTGTTAGCGTAGCGTCAAGAGCGTGCTGATAACGTGTTGTAGGCATAATTTACTGAACAATTATAGAGGCCTTAGAGAGAGAGGGGGGTGCGGCAATAGAGAGAAGAATAGAGAGATGTGTAATTGTGGGTGTGTGTTATCTTACCCCATTGTGCCTTTATTTATAGTAGTAGGAAGGGTAAAACCTTTCCCTTTAGGATTACAACATTTAATAGGTAATCTAATCCTAATAGGAATATAAGATACATTCCTATATTTCCTAGGATTTACACAATTACATTCCTATTCTAAATAGGACTGCAACATATATGAATTTGTTTCACTTAAAATGTATATGACTCGTACGAATATTTTTCCAATAAACACAAATTTATAATAAAAAGTTCAACGTGCTTATAATAAAGAAGAAGAGAACTTTAACGAAAAGCTCCTGGTACTGTTCACTTTAACGAAAAACCACATTTTTACACTAAAAAGTCAATCATGTAACTATTCACTTTACCATTTATTTTGTCCTTATCATTAAAACTCAAGGTTTTCAAGTTATTTTCATTAGTTTTCCTAAAGAACAATGCTTGGCTATTAAAAAATAAGTTAGGGGTAGGCACGGTTTGGTTCGGTGCGATTTTGAGTGAAACCAAAACCGAAACCGAATTTTTTTGCGGTTTGGTTTGTTTCGGTTTTGAAACCAAAACCGAAATGAAACCAAACCGTTTGGTTCGGTTCGGTGCGGTTTCAAACGGTTTCGGTTTGGTTTTTAAGAAAAAAATGTACAATTTGCAATTTAACATATTGATAAGCATTTCCCAGTAGCAATAGGAAAAAAACATTTGTTATATAAACAATTAGCATGTTGCATGCGATTGTGATGTTAAAACATGTTTGTGCAACAAAAGGGTGTCCCGTACAAGGTATAACATAATACAAATTGAATAACTTTGAATTCATTAAACGTGAGTGAAACTTTCATACTATGTGATATCATGCTTCAAATGAGTGGACTTCATTAGATCATTGTTCGACTCTTGATAACAAGATTAATCCACCCTTGTACATATATGTGCGTGAGTGTGTGTGTGTGATGGTATAAAATAACAAAGGTCCTTCAAGTTAATGAACGAAAGAAAGTGATAAATGATGATATTCTAGTGTAGTTGAGTCCATACTAAGTGCATGGATTCTAACAAACAACCAATTAAAGCATGAAATTTAATATGGACATTTAATTAAATTAAATGTTTATTAATATTTGCGGTGCGGTTCGGTTTCGATACGGTTTTCAAAAGTCAAAACCGAAACCAAACCGTTTTCCAAAACCGCAAAACCAAACCGTTCGGTGCAATTCGATTTGGTTCGTGTTTCGGTTTCGGTTTTCGGTTCTAAGTGCCCACCCCTAAAATAAGTAGAAACTCTTACTTGAAATTCTTCGTGTTCAAATCATAAAACTTTGTGCTTATAATCAGAATCGTGCATAGATGGTTCATAATGTTTTTATCAATTCCACTTATCTGTTTTTATACAATTCGATAACTAAACAATCTTAGTTTTAATTGATTTTTGCAAAGGCGAACTCTTTAGAGTGATTTATATATAAAAGATTACGATCATAAACACGAAATTCTATACATTGTCAACGAATGATTTTAAGCAGAAACTCCTACTACCACTTTGTACTACGGTTTAGTGGTATTCCTATTCACTTGAAAGTGAAAAGTCTTAGGTTTGATTCTCGACAAAAATAAATTTGAACTAAATTATTGTTAGTACATTGTGAAACTATCCTTATTATAGAAAATATCGTTTGTTCAAAAAATAAAAAATAAAAGAGTAGAAACTCCTCCTCCTCATTCAAAGTAGCCAAGTAGTTCGAATCTAAACAAGCCGTTAGACAAGGGACTAAAACAATCATAGGGCTTATAAGGGGAAACAGTATAAGTGGCCCAATAGGCCGGACTCGGCCCATGTCTAGTTACTCGCTCCGAAAGAGAAAAATGGCGGGAAAATCAAGAACTGCAGAAGTAGCTTTACTAGGGCACACGCCCGACTCGGACCAATTTGGGGGCTGCAATTAGATCGAGATCAAAGCCATGGAGATGAACGACGGCGAGAACGAAGAGTTTGGGTTCTCCAGAAACTACTTTCTGGCAAAGGAGCTCCGCGGCTCTGGCAAGAATCGCAATCTAAGCTCTCGGATATCGATATCGTCGATGAACAGGTACCGCTGGCTCGAATTCAATTCTTTCAGAATCTTCCATTTTTTGTTGTTATTCTTGTTAAAGCTTGAAGCTTTGGCAGGAACTGGTTGCGGCGGCGGCTCAAATCGAACCCAAACATGAGAAAGAGGTGAAGGATTTGATGAACAGTTACAAGAGTTCATATCCAGAATGGGCTTTTGAACTGAGGTATTCCACTGGCTTGTAGAAATATATGAAACGCTTGTAGATTGATTTTTTCGGCATCTAATGTTCAAATTGGATGGATTTTCGACTTAATTTTACTGCGAAATGAGAACATAATGATCTTTCTGGCTGCATATGCTACAAATTATACTGCTTTATGGTACTTAATTATATCATCGACCACATTTGGCATCGGAGTTTTTTCACCAATGGCAATGAGTGCCCTCATGCATTCTTCTATAGGCATTTGGCTACGAGGAGTTGCATTATATCCTTTCTGCAATTGATTGAGTTCTGGACTTGAAGTCTGCTATTTACTAATGTTATGCTATTTTGATGTTATTATTCACCCTTTGCTTTATTGATCGTAGATGTGGTCTTGGCCTTCTTATGTATGGATTTGGATCTAAGAAGGCCTTGCTTGAAGATTTTGCTTCAACATCGTTGACGGATTATTCTGTGCTTGTTGTCAACGGCTATCTTCAGGGAATAAATATAAAACAGGTAATATTTATATGGGACACTATTCCACTTCCAAAGCAATATGCGATTATTCTACATTTTCCCGTTGTGTGGTTTTATCTTATTGGCAATAAGAATTTGATTTACCGGGTTTTCCTGGCCTAGTATATTGTATGCAATCCGCTATAAACTTTATGAACAATGTGCGGATCATCTTTGTCTCATGTAGGTTGTCTCCAAAAGTGGCCTAACCCATCTTCCTTGTCGTCTGAAAGTATGACGTAATATGGAAAGAAGATAAGGGGATAGGTTCGAAGCTAAAACAAACATTACCATGTCCTTTAACATGTTATCTAATGTTTGCAATGTAGGTTGTGGTAGCCTTAGCTGAACTTCTGTGGGATCAATTGAAAACCAAAAGGACTCCTTCTAGAAGCTCGTCAAAAGTGCAACAACCATTTAGTTCTAGGTCCATGGATGATCTTCTTGCATTTTTGGATGGATCGGAAGATACAACAAACGAATGTATAGTATGTGTTGTCATTCACAACATTGATGGACCTGGATTAAGGGACTCAGAAACCCAACAGTGTCTTGCACGAGTTGCTTCTTGTTCTCATATTCGCATTGTGGCCTCTATCGATCATGTCAATGCACCTCTTTGTAAGTCTATTCTTGTTATAATTTGTTATATCGGGTTCTGAGTCTCTGACTAATGTTGGATCCTGAAACTTTGCCTCTATGTCTTCGTAAAAATAGAACTGAAGAAGAAAACCGTTTTTTGTTACTCTGCAAGACGAAAATTTCATACATCATCAAGTTTAATCACACCTTCTTTCCATTTAATAGTGTGGGACAAGAAGATGGTTCACACACAATTCAACTGGTGCTGGCATCACGTTCCTACCTTTGCCCCATACAAGGTCGAAGGAATGCTCATTCCACTGATTCTTGCACATGGAAATACCACCCAAAGTGCCAAAGGTGCTACAATAGTTTTGCAGAGTTTGACATCCAATGCTCAGAGTGTGTTCAAAGTTCTTGCAGAATATCAACTATCCCACTCGAACGAAGAAGGTAAGTCGCTATACAGCCTATTTTAACTCTTGGAGCTTTAACCTCTATGATCCGTTCCATCCGTTACCTGATAACTTGTGTGTTGTTCAGGGATGCCGATTGATAATCTGTACGCAACCTGTCGAGAGCGGTTCCTCGTGAGCAGCCAGCTTACGCTCAACTCCCATTTGACGGAATTCAAAGATCATGAATTGGTGAAGACCAAAAGGAATTCTGATGGCCAGGATTGCTTGCACATCCCTCTCACAAATGAGGCACTTGAAAAACTGCTAGCAGACCTGAGTCAATGACTTGTTATTTAACTACTCGGTCTTTCAAAATTATGTGGATTTTATGTCCTGATACAAGTGGCAATAATCCAAATTTTTCACTCCCTGCTTAAAAAGTGACTAAAGTGCATCGAAACGTGTACTAACCTCCTAGCGTGTGCTTGTATCATGTGCGGCTCTGCAGTGTGCGGGAGGTTTCATTTTTATCGCACGCGTCTAAAGAGAGCATTTTGTGTGTAGAAGAGACTCGGGAGAGTTTAAAATATAGGATGATGAAAAGAGTGTCAATCAGCCTCTTTAGTTTTGGTAAATTCTGCCGATTTACTATCTCGACTATTAATTTGATGTTCAAATACGCCTTGTCAAAATTTCTAAAATATTAAAAGCGAGGGTTTTTGCCCATTCAAGTAGGAAAAATTGACTTTGGTACTGGATGTTCTAAAAATGGGTACTATCGAGTCAAGTGAATTGAATTCAGTAATAAACGCTTGTTGACATTTCAGCATTCGTTTTCGTTCCGAGGCCGATCCGTAAGAGAATCCTGTGCGGTGAAAATGAGTTGAAAATGTAGCTCAAATGAAAAGGACAAAGGACAAATTGGATTTGTTAACATTTATTTCAACAGAAAACCAACCAAACCGGATGGAGATGGACCGGACCTCTCAAAGAAAACGACAAGTAGTCAACATTACAACCCGTATTAATCTCCCCAAAAAAATCAAACACAATAAAAGGTATGGGTCTAAGTAATGCTAGTGAGGTCAAGTTTTTTTTTAATTAAATTTATAAATTAAATAATGTGTTGTTAATATGAAATAAGCATATTAATTGACATCTAATTAATAATTCAATTATCTAAAATTACATTATTTAGTTTGTAAATTTAGTATAAAATATTTAGTCCTTGTCCTTGAATCACATTGTTGCTAGTCTATTATGAGACTAAATCAATCCTCATCCATATTACTGTAAATAATATCGTTTGTTAAAAAAAATTATTTAGTCTTCTTAACATTATTATGAATCTATCCAGTTCCATACACCTCTGTCTAATAAACCACCGCCACGTATGAAGAAAGGGTATTTCCGTAATTGACGGCTCAAACAGACTGGATTAGGCACGCTTTTTGTGGCGAAGTGTAGCTGAGCGAGCGCTCTCTGTCTCTCTGTAATTTAGCAGAAAGTCCAAAAAGTCCAAAGCTTGCAAACACCCATTCCATTCCCCCTGCCTGAAAGCTGCAAGCTTTTTACTTGGGACGGATGCCAGATAATCACACCCTCCATCTCTTCATCCGTTTGATCGAATTGAACTCCAACCCAATAATCGTCTGCAGTTTCCAGAAAAACCCAATTCGAAAAGTCAGTTTTTTGCAGCTCGAGTTCTGAGAATTCTGCAGAAAAGGTTGGGTTACGGGGCGCCGCGGCGGTGGAGGAGGAGGAGATGTGGGGGCTCGGGAATCAGTGCTATTGGGGGAGGAAGGAGCTGCGGAGCGATGGGATTGAAGGGATAGTGGTGGTGTTTGCGTGGATGTCGAGCCAGGAGTGGCAGCTGAAGAGCTTCGTGGAGCTCTACTCGTCTCTGGGTTGGAACTCACTCGTCAGCCACTCCCAGTTTCTCAATATGTAAGTTGTTGTTCCGATTTTTACGCTGATTTGGAGATGTTGTTCTTATCAAGTTTCTGCTCTTGCTTTTGTTCCCAGTTGGGTTTGACTTGTTTTGGTTAATCACTTAATGGCTTTTGCCTTTTTGGGTCGTTGGAGGAAATTGGTTGCTTAATATTTTGAGTGTTTTGTGAGTTATTGTGGTTAATTTAGCGGTAGCTGGAGCTAGTTTGTGGTAACTGATGTTTCCTTATTTGACAGATTTTGCGTGGGAAATGTTTTTGAGCCCCCCTTTGCCCTTTTCCTTGGTTTAATGAAATCAGGGTTAGGTTAGGCAGCTGCATGAAGCTGCCATTATTGCTGGCTTTAGTAGTTTTATGATGGGGTGGCGAGCTAAATTGCAGTACTAGCCTTGTAAAGTGAATGTGGATCACCCAAAATAGAATTATATTTACAGCAACACATATGGAAAACGTAGAATGACCTGCATGAAAAGGAGGAGCCTCGTTAAAACCTCACCGTAAAGCCCGCATGGGAAAAACCTCGGTGAAGGAAAAAGAGTACCCCACATGCCCCAACTATGGCCCCTTCTTCCCTTCCCTAATGAAAGAGTCCACCGCCTGCCTTAGTAGTCTCAAATAGGGCGCGCAGGCCTGCCTCTATTTTTAGTAGGTGATTCACTATCGAAGTGAAGAAAAGGCTGGATCAAGAAAAGGGGGTACTACGAGCCCTCTGCCTCACGCATCTAACCAGTTCGCGTGGTTCACCGGGGGTTGCTTCGGTCAGTTACAGGGGCGGTCAGTAGGTAGTTCCGATTCTAGCTCCTAGCTTTGGAGAAGCAAACTTCAATGACAAAGATTTCACTACATTACTTATTACGTCAAACATTCCTCTTTCTACTTCTGATTCTCGCACGGATAGAGATGGAGGTCTTTCTGCTATAGCAAGAAGCGGAACTACAAGTGAATTTTATTCATTATGGATAACCAATTCATTTTCAAATATAGTTGGGAGACTTTACCCAAGAATGGGTAAAAAAAAATGGAAGGATCAGAACATGGGAATAGGTCTGATACTAATATGGACTACCCATTTCAATTGTTGTGCTTTCTTAAATTGCATACCCCTCGGTGGAGTTTTTTATGTATGTGGAAGTTGTGGAGTTGATATAGTATTTCGACGGCTTGCAACTTTTATACTGGTTGGCGGCATTTAGGGAAACATTCTTGGCATCAGGCATGTTACAGTGGAAGTACTGCCTTTAATTGATTTGAAAGAATAATTCTATTGTATTTGTACAAGAATGTTTCAGGAGGAATTACGAAGTGCACGGTTGTTTTATATCGTCTCCTTGTGATGATTTAATTCGCTCCAAATTTCAATCTTCAATTGTTCCAAAGCTCAAAAGAACTCGTAGAATACATTATGTAATTTGCATTTGTAAAACTTGAGTTATTATATTTGGATCTGTCTGTTATTGTTGCTGCAATCATTCAATTAGAAATTGCATAATTTTGATGTTGGACTAAGGTTTGATATACATGATTTCTGCAGGTTCTTCCCCAAGAAGGTTACAGCTATAGCGATGGATATTCTAAATGAACTTGTTGAGGTCAGTTTATTACAGTTATCCAACAATAGATTCAGAGAGACTGTAGATCTTGTTTAATTGATTTTCCTGAGTAAAGTTAACCAATTACCACTTTGCTTTTTATATGAAATACAGGAGTTGAAGATTAAGCCTTGCCCAGTGGTCTTTGCTTCTCTTTCTGGTGGTCCAAAAGCCTGTATGCTAAAAGTTCTTCAGGTAAACTCCTTTTACTTCTTAATGCTTCATATTTTATTCGTATTTTCAATGTTAAAAGGATTTCACTGGTCACATAAAGTAGCCTTCAATTGATTGAGGATAAGTATTGACAGCGTTTTTCGTTTTGTGCAGATAATTGAGGGAACTTGTGAAGCAAAATTGAATCTGGTATACTTTTTTTTTTCTTACTTTTGCATTTCACTAACGATAACAAAAAAATGTTAGGTAATAATTAATGATTCTATATGTCAGAGGCAATATAGGGTGTTCCATTTTGAGTCTTTGACTAGTTCTTACAGTTTTGAAAGTTATGAACATCAGTTTCGATCATTTGAATCTTTTCGATTGTCAACTTTCTGGCCTGAAGAATGATTGCCGATTAGTTAAAGACTGTATTGCCGGCCACATCTATGATTCGAGTCCAGTGGACTTTACTTGTGATCTGGGTGCTAAATTTGTTCTTCACCCAAGTGTCCTGAAAATATCCAAGCCACCAAGATTTGCATCCTGGATGGTGCATAGCATTGCATCTGGGCTCGATGCGCTCTTTCTCAACAGGTTTGAGTCACAGCGTGCTGAGTACTGGCAGACTGTCTACTCCACCATTGTGAGTAACAAAATATACTCCAGGTTGTCTGCTATCTAAAAATCCCATTTTTATTTCCCTTCCATTTATTCTTTATGATTCTTATGCAGGGCATGCAGGCCCCGTATCTCATCTTATGCTCAGAGAATGACGATCTTGCTCCCTATCAAGTTATCTATAATTTTTCGCAGCGCTTACGAGAACTTGGGGCTGATGTTAAACTAGTAAAATGGAATGACTCTCCTCACGTAGGTCTGCTTCTAAACATAAACTCGAAGGCTATTTATAACAAATGCAATTCCTTGTAGAGCTTTCAACTGTACCGTGTTATTAAATTTACAGTTCATGTAGTATTCTGTTCCCCAAATTCTTATTTATTCACGTTCTTTCCTGTTTTCAAGAGCATCACCTAAAGATTCTAAATCGTAAAACTTGATTCAATTCTTCACTCACAGGTCACTACAGGCGTTATCCAATTGATTACAAAGTTGCTGTAAATGAGCTCCTTGGTCAAGCGGCGGGAGTTTATTCTCAAAGAATTAGAGGGCTGGAAGGAGAAACATTGGGCATGCAGGCAATACAAGATGAGATCATTGACAATGAACCGATGAGTAGCATTAGAAAAGCTGCGGGAGGCTCAAATGGGTTTCGAGGAGTCACTCTGGCCCCAAGCGATCACTTCTTCACCACGCCCTTCTCAATGGAGTACGAGGGAGGTAGAGATGTTGGGTCAATGCAGGAAGAACGCAAGGAAGGGATAATTCACGTGCATAACCCGCCAACTCCAAGCATGAACGCCCACGGGGTTCTTGGGCAGATCCTTTTTGACGTCTGTGTTCCGAAGACTGTTGAGGATTGGGATATAAAGCCGTCATCGGGTTCTTTGAACGGGAATGGCAGCTCACTCGCTTCAAGAAGACGACATGCCCCCTTTAATCCAATCAAGTGCATCCGTCGCTCAAGATTATAAGAGAGATCAAGTTTTTATCTTTATTTTTTCATTTCTTGCTTTCTTTCTGGAATAAGGAGGATAAGCTGATGATGATCTCCTTCTCCGCCCTAAAAAAAATGTAGAGTGACGCAGTTCAATGACACTGAACAACCCTTAGGCTTTAGAGGAAGTTGTAAGTGTAAAAAAGAAAGAAATAATATAAAATAATGTTTCTTGTACCAAAATAAATCTTCAGAAAATGAGTTTGGTTGTCAATTCAAACTGAATTTGTTTCAATGTGACCGGCACTCAATTTTTATCTCACTTTTTTTTTTCCGTCATGACGTGGTATGGGCGCAGAC